CCAAATTTCGGAGCGGAACATCCAGCACCGCTTTGGGGCGAGTTGTTCCACTTATGAGGCAAATACATAGATTATAACAATATACAGCCAGAATAACATAAGGTTTCCTAAATAAAACAACCATTTCTATTAATTTTTCTATGTAATGTTTATTCTATGCACGACAAAACCTTTTTTATATTGTTAAATTATAATTATTGAGATCTATTATCTTACAAATTTTATCAGATTTATAAATTAACTTACAAAAATAACAAAACATAACTGGTGAGCGCCCTATAAACTTTTCTTTAGTTAAATTATAAAAGATCTATCAAAACTTTCAAAAACTACAAAAATCAAAAGTTTAGATACCTAAACAAAAATAACTTTACAAATACAAAACATAACCTCCAGATAAACGTTTATTTTGTTAAATCATACTTAATATTATTCATTAAGTCTTACTTTATCAGGCGTAATTAACTTTGGCAACATCCATTCTTATTAATCAGTACCTAATCTTATTCATCACCAATCTTATTCGTCACTCATTTCTTCATCTGACTCACAGTTAGGACACACATATGTGACTTTATCACCGTTGTCTAAACATTTGACATGTGCCCAATTTTTACAAACGGTACATTCTATCCACTGTTCTTTTGGACGAGAATTTGAATATGAATCGCCAAAAATTATGCAGTGCCATTCCAGATCGTTATCGCTGTCACTCTTGTTTACTTGTAATACTCTTCGTTTAGCTTTTCCTTGAGGTTTACCCTTCCACCAGGTCTGGTCTGACGACCAGACGCCAACTGTTTAGTGATGTCTCAGTGATCGCAAGGGTGAAAACCGGCAGCGATCACCGAATGGTTAGAGGCACACTGAACCTAAACGTTAAGTTGGAGAGGTCTCGTCTAATGAAGTCAACGCTCCGTCCCCCTCGTGCTCTAATCCAGAATCCCGAAACCTTTCAGCTCGAGTTACGTAACCGCTTTCAGTGCCTAGAAGATTGCAATGCAGTGGACGATATGAATGACAAGCTCGTGGAAACTGTCCATGCGGTCGGAGCTAAGTTCTGGCAGACCCGCCGCAGAAGAACACAAAAACTCTCCGATCACACTCTTAATCTCATGGCTGTTAGACGGGAGATGAGGCTGCAATCGTCAACAGATTTGACAGCATGCAGGCAACTGAATAGACAGTTCTCCAAATGCATGCGGCGAGACTTACGCAACTTTAATACTTCTCGTATTAAAGAAGCGATCGAGCGGAACCAGGGCTCCAAAGTGTTTGCCAGAGATCTGTCTGCCAGAAAGAGCCAACTGTCAAAGCTGAAGACTGAGTGTGGCAACATCGTTTCCGGGACACCTGAGATTCTGAGTGAGATTGAGAGGTTCTATGGGCAGCTGTACACATCATCGTTGGAGCCACACTCAAGTGTGAGTAACGATCCAACAGCAAGTCTTATCAGACACTATTTCGATGATATCCCGGACGTCAGTCTGAGCGAGATTAGAATGGCTCTCCAACACCTTAAAAACGGCAAGGCCCCGGGCGAGGATGGAATTACAGCGGAGCTTCTGAAAGCGGGTGGAACACTGGTACTTGAAGTCCTTCAGAAGCTCTTCAATTCCGTCCTCCATGGTGGCACTACTCCGGAGGCGTGGAGCAGAAGCGCGGTGGTTTTGTTCTTTAAGAAAGGCGACAACGCTCTCTTAAAGAACTACAGACCGATTTCCCTTCTGAGCCGCGTCTACATGCTATTTTCGAGAGTCATTACGAATCGTCTCGCACGCAGACTCGACGACTTCCAGCCTCCCGAACAAGCCGGTTTCCGAAAAGGCTTCAGTACCATAGACCACATACATACCCTGCGGCAGATTGTACAGAAGACCGAAGAGTACAATCTGCCACTTTGCCTGGCATATGTGGACTATGAGAAAGCCTTTGATTCCGTCGAAATTTGGGCGGTGCTACAGTCTCTTCAGCGGTGCCAAGTTGACTGTCGGTATATCGAGGTGCTGAAGTGTTTGTACAGTAGGGCTACGATGGCTATCCGAGTACAGAACCAGAGTTCGAAACCTATCCAACTTCAGAGAGGTGTAAGACAGGGTGATGTTATATCCCCGAAACTCTTCACCGCTGCGTTGGAAGACGTTTTCAAGCTATTGGACTGGAAAGGATACGGTATTAACATCAATGGCGAGTACATCACTCACCTTCGATTTGCCGACGATATAGTCCTTATGGCAGAATCGCTGGAGGACCTTAGCACTATGCTCAATGACCTCAATGGTGTCTCCCAACGTATAGGTCTTAAGATGAACATGGACAAAACAAAGATCATGTTTAATGTCCATGTCACACCTATGCCGGTAGTTATTGGGAGCACTATGCTTGAAGTTGTTGACGAGTACGTTTACCTGGGACAAATAGTCCGACTAGGTAAGTCCAACTTCGACCGAGAGGTCAATCGACGGATTCAACTCGGCTGGGCAGCGTTCGGGAAATTACGACACATCTTCTCGTCAGGTACACCTCAATCTCTGAAAACTAAAGTGTATAACCAGTGCGTGTTGCCAGTGATGACTTACGGATCTGAGACGTGGTCCTTCACTGCTGGCCGTATGAGGACGCTCAAGGTCGCTCAGCGAGCTATGGAGAGGGCTATGCTCGGAGTTTCTCTACGTGATAGGCTCAGAAATGAGGATATCCGCAGTAAAACCAGAGTGACCGACATAGCCCAACGGATTAGTAAGCTAAGGTGGCAATGGGCCGGCCATATAGCTCGAGAACCGATAACCGATGGTGAAGAAAGGTTCTCGAGTGGCAGCCTCGTATCGGTAGGCGTAGTGTAGGGCGACCCCCCACTAGATGGAGTGACGACCTGGTAAGACATGCAGGAAGTCGATGGATACAGGTGGCTCAGGACCGTGCTTTGTGGCGTTACTTGGGGGAGGCCTATGTTCAGCAGTGGACATGTGAAGGGCTGTAATGATGATGAAATGATGATTTCCGTTCGTTGCCTGTTTCTCAGCCAACGCGTTTTTTTCTGGCGTGTCAGTTAAAATAGCAGCCTTTCTCATACGTCGTTTTGTAGATTTCTGCAATCGTGGTGGTGCCTTTGGTAAAGGTTTAACAATTTCTGGGTTAAACACAGCTGTAGCGTTTGTCTTTACTGGCGTTGATTGAAGTCCTTGGTCACACTGATTTGATGTCGAATGCTGGGGTTGTTCATCATTCTGCACTGATATTAAAATTGTCGAAGGCTCTGGCTAGACATAACTCTGTGATAATATTTGAATGTTGGATTGTCCTGGCTGGTCTTCATATTGTGCCGAAATTGAGCAGCTAGAAGGCTGGGAGGGCTCTTCATTAGACACAACTTGAGATGAAGTAGCATCTAATAATGGCCGATCTGTCACGAAAGATGGAGCAAAATCCTCATCTGTAAAAACATCGAGGTTATAAGGGCATATTCCAGTTTTCTTGAATGCGTTTATAATATTTGTAGGGGTTGCTGCTAAAGGCCATGCTGTTTTAACAATTCCAGGAATTTCGTAGATTGACATCGTTTTACCCGGGTTGTTGCGGAGCCAATTATCTTGAATTTTCGCACAGAATGTTTTAAAAGGCCCGTTGACGCCAACATCCAGAGGTTGCAGCATGTGTGTGCAGTGAGGGGGAAATGACAACATAATGATGGAGTTGGTTTTAGCTTTATCAACTACGTTAATATCAATGTGTGAGGAGTGATTGTCTAATAATAGCAACACCTCTTCTTCTGTGGTGGGTTTAGTAAATTTTATGAAATGATCCATATATGTGAGGAATTCAGTAGCAGTCATCCACCCTGAGCTGTTTCCAGCCCCGACTGACTCGGGGGGCTCATCCCGCAAAAACAAGTCTTTATACTTTAAACGTGGAAACACAAACATTGGCGGTATCGTGTTTCCCGCGGCACTGACTGCTAGCTTCACAGTTACCAAATTGCCGCGCTCAGCAGACACAATAGCACCTACCTGTTTTGTACCTTTTTGGGCTACTATCTTCCTTGACTTCAACACAGTCGTTACTCCAGTCTCGTCTAGGTTCCAGATTCTTGATGGTGTCAGTTTATATTTTAATAGAATTTCACCGAGCTTAGTGAAAAATTCATTCACATTGTGTCTGTTAAATGCAGATGCACGTCCTGCACTAGTTGCTTCTGGTGTTCTGATAGATAAAACGGGGTTCCTCTTCATAAATCCAGTGAACCAGTCAGCTCCAGTTTTTAGATTCTTGTGCCATGAAGGGGGAATGTTTTCAAACGAAAATTTTACCACACATTCATAGGCGAGTTTTCGCACCTCTTCGGGTAGAAAAGTAAAGTAAAGTAAAGTTACAGCCTATATACGTCCCACTGCTGGGCACAGGCCTCCCCTCATTTCTGAGAGGATTTTAGGGCAAGGAAGTGTCCGCCGCGCTACCCCAATGCGTGTTGGCGAACTTCACATGTCTTCGAAATATTTTTTTCTTATTCCTCAGACATGCAGGTTTCCTCACGATGTTTTCCTTCACCGCTGAGAACGTGGTATATCAACACTTAAAATTGCAATTAACAATTTCATTGGTGCCGGCGGGGATCGGACCCGGGTTTCTCGCGTTCTGTTATATTTACAGCGAGCGCTAACCATCTGAGCTACCACGGCTCTCAACATTTAGTATTTTCGGGTTTCGGGTAGAAGACCGAAGTATATTGAGGAACACTTTAAAATATAGTTAACTAACTCTTTTTCCTGTTCCAAGGTAAACACTAGCCTGGGCTTATAACCTATGTTAGGAATCTTGCCAGCTTTCAATTTTGTAACAAATCGATGCAACGTCATGTGGCAAATTTCAAGTTGTCGTGCCACAGTTTTAACTGGTTTTCCGTCCTTGATGACAGCATCTGCAGCTTGCCGCAACAATATCTCAGAGGTTTTACCTCTCTCTGTCTTACGTTTGTAGTTTCGCATCTTTAAAATCAAAGAAAAATGGTCATAAGAATTATAGATACGATTGAAGGACAGTTGAGGTAAGTTGTTCCGGGGAACTACCAGCCCCTCTAGGAAGAAACTTATAGCCCCAAATTACCTTTATATATAAGGACTGACATACTGGCAAACTAATATAATTAATTCAATAAATACTTGAGCAATAAGATACCTTACTAATGTCACTACAATTTAGAAGAGTTACGTATGAATTGGTTCATAATAAACAGAGATAGACCAAATAGTTTAAGCACGAAAAAATTTACTTACGTGATGTTTTGACAGCTACGTGCGCACAGCCACTCAACCAACGTCGCTGGAATAACTAACATGGCTGCCGGCGCGGCGCGTCACCTGACGCTTTTACGGCGCATTTCACATATATTGCTATCTCTTTTCATTACAAAGTTATTTCTATCGGAACAACAGCCCCGCGCTCCCATACAAAAGAAATTAGAAACAGCTTGGTAGTGACGCGGCGTAGTGATCACCTTTCCCAGGGGTTATTATAATCCATAAATTCCTTGATATTATACATTTAGCATTTTTTTGTATAAACTTAGTTTAATAAAGATTTTGTATTTTGTGCAAGTCAAATTTTGTATATTTTCTGGGATTTTGTGATAAAAGCGTCGCCCCAAGAATGAACTATTGACTCGGTGGAGTCGACATTACATTTTCGTATAAATGTAATGTAAGTTAATATATTAATGTCCTTAAATTTTTATCTGAGCGACTCTTTAGGTTTTAAATCATAGATTGCTCTAATAGTCCTCTTTTGTAATACAAACAAAATTTCAGTGTCAGTCCCGTATCACCATAGCAAAATAACATACCACATTATACTATGGAAATAGATAAAGTAAACTAGTCTAGCTGTTTCAACACTGGTGAAACTTCTAATCGTTTTTACAGCATATGCTGCAGAACTAAGTCTGCTTGGTAGTTTTGATATATGGGGGCCCCATTGAAGCTTTGCTTCTAGTGTGATTCCGAGAAAACTGGTGGTATAGGCAAGACTCAGCTCCTCCCAATTTAAAATTACATTAGTAATTATTATTTTTATAAACATGTTTGACATTTGGCGTTATGAATTTCATAGGTACGTTTAGTTTTAGTAGAGATTATTAGTATGAAACTAATTTACTAATTTAGGTATAGCATTAATTACTTCCTGACAATTTACAATACAATACAATACATTTTAATGCACACCAACAAAACATAATTATAACAAATAATGAACAAACAACTAGGGAAAAGCAAAAGGCGGTCTTATTGCTACATAGTAATCTCTTCCAGACAACCCAAAAGAGGAAATTATTAAAAATAAAAATAAGATTAACGGGTAGGGTGCACTAAATTAGACAAAAAAATACAACTTTTATACTATAAAATGACAACATACTTAAGGTATATTAGTGATCATGACTAAGAGGAGAAAGAGAGAGGAGTTAAAGAGACAAATAGTGTTCTTTAATTTGTTTCTTGAACACATTTAAAGATTGAGCACTTTTAATGGACTGGGATAAGGAGTTCCAGAGTCTTACTCCAAGAACAGCAAAAGATTTATCATAAAATGTCGAGGAGTGTACAGGACATTGGAGCGAAAGATTTTCTTTGGACCGTAAGGAAAAATCGTGACAAGAGCCAAGAATTTTAAAACTTTCTTTTAGATAGGGAGGACTTGATACATTAAATAAGATAATTTAGTAACTGACGTTTTAATTTGAAAATGAATGAAGTGTCATCAGCAAATAATACTACATCATGATTATCCCCTACTATGTAAGGTATGTCGTTAATATACTGGATAATTTTTATACCGTCTAGAAAAAAGCAGGATGTAACCGGTGAACGGAATAGAAGCCTATGGTTATGATATTTTGCATTTTGTATTTATTTTACATTAAAGTAAAGTTATACAGTAAAGTATAGAAACGAAAACCCTTTTTACAGGAAACGAGGCATTCCATCTTAGTCTTCAGGGGTGGCAACGCATCTGCATTTTGAATTCTAATCGAGGATAAATGTAAATGTCTATGGGCCACAGCATCCACTTAACATCAGGTGGGCTGTGTTCTCGTTTGTCTGCCTTATTCTATAAAAAAATATGTACATATGTATTTTTTAACTTCGGAATGATTTTTTACTAAACAGTTTATCCAGGGGGGTATATAAATTCAGAGAAAAATTGCACTCAATAAATGTAACTATTTTGATTATTACATGTTAATTGTTGTCTTGAGCTTGTTATATTCCTTATTGTGAACTAACTACTTACTTGAGGCAGCTACCTCTACCACGTATAAATACTTATCTTCATGTATGCGTATATCAAATTGCGGGTATAGTTTGTTATACTAACATTCTCCATATGCAATATCTACAAGTTCTTTTTATCTTTTATTAGAACATTTATCTACTAACTTTAAAAACAAATAATAAATGCTTAGGTACACTTACATTCGCCTTTCCGTCTTTATACATTAAAGTAAAAGCTATTGAGAAAACTATGAATACAACTTTTGTTGTAAAAATAACTATCGCCACTGTTACGAGAGAATCAAAGGAAACCATTTTGATGCAGTATTAGTAATAATGCCTCGAGTTCTCAACATTACGTGCTACTATCTAAAGACTGCAAAATATAAAGGAAACAAAATATTTATGATAAAATATTTTATCGTTTCTTAGCTGCGATAATTCTTTACATATTGGTGCATATCTTTATTTTTCATTAGGGATCCTTGAATTTAATTACATAAAGTAGCCGTAGTTACTCAGAGGCTTAACGTTCGCTGTAAATTTCACAGCACAAGAAGACCTGGGTTTGATTCCTGCCGACACCAATTAAGTAGTTAAGCAGTCATTTGAAACGTAATTAAGTTAGGTACGTTTATTCTCTGCATAAAATCTAGGAAATAATGTATTTTGAGGGCATACGAAGTCACAATATGCTCTTGCGCCATACTGCGAAGTGCTTCGTAGATTTTGACGATAGCGAACCGTCGATTTACGACAGTATCTCAAGTTCTTAAAGCGCTTAAACGGACAAAATAACTTGAGGACATCAGAGCACTTGTCATCGTTTCCACTAATTCGCAGAACCAATCACATTACTTTTACATAGGTATATTTAAATCCCCTTCAGGCCTTTGGATAAAACAGGAGCAATAATCCGCTGATGGTCAAATTACCGTAATAAACTAATTACTAACTTACTAAACACATTGGGAAAATTTAAAAATGAACAATTCATACATATTATGTACTTTTATCTGTAAATAAACATGTTTTCAAAATAAATTATTTATTATCTAGACAGGGTCTCATACAAAAAAAAAATTTTTTTTAAAACGTTATCCTCACACTAGGATTTTCTCCTGTATCATGGAGGCAGTTTACAAACATAAATTGGACAAGGGCAAACATCCAGACCCGGAACAATTATTTGGAGCCGTTAAGCTATTACATATAATTACCGATAAAAATAAATAATAACATCACTGTTAATTATTTATTTTTATCAGTATAGAAAAGACTTGACAATGCCTCGTTACGTAAGTAAATTACAAATTGATTGAAGGTAACAAAAGTAATGTTTAAGTATGAAGTGATAAAAAAAGCTGCCTAAGTATATTATACTATTTTATTCATCAACAATCGCCTAATTTATAAATTACTTTCTTACAATTTTATAATTTCAATTCAAAAATCACAACACCATACATAGAAGTAGATTTGATATGCAAATTTGACACGCTTTGTAGTAGCTAGACCTGTATAGTTTACTTATCTTACATAGATTTATGTATAAGCTTCGCTCGCATATAAGCTTCAATTCAGAACATCATTAAATGCTGTACGACTATTTTAATTACTCAGACATCTAGGTTTCCCCACGAAGTTATTTTGACCACTTTAACGGACACATGGTAGGTCTGTTACAGATTCATTTGTACCCCTCGTGCAATGCCATGATGAAATGACACGGTTCTCGTATTTGATTAAATGCAATTCATAAAAACTAAACCTAAGCTTTTGCATCATTGTGGACCACATTTACTTAGTAATAGACATTCAACGATGCCACGAACATGCATTCCTCCAAAACTGATGAACGGTGAACTGAAGTTAGGGAAATTTGGAGTAGGGCAACGGAACCGAAGGGACCAGCAGCTGGCCGACTTTATGGAGAAAGAGGGACTCTTTATGATGAACTCTTTCTTCCAGAAGCGGCCCCACAGGAAGTGGACCTGATCGAGCCCCGACTTCATTATGACGACCACACGCCAACTGTTCAGTGATGTCTCAGTGATCACAAGGGTGAAAACTGGCAGCGATCACCGAATGGTTAGAGGCACACTGAACCTAAACGTTCAGTTGGAGAGGTCTCGTCTAATGAAGTCAACTCTCCGTCCCCCTCGTGCTCTAATCAAGAATCCCGAAAACTTTCAGCTCGAGTTACGTAACCGCTTTCAGTGCCTACAAGATTGCAATGCAGTGGACGAAATGAATGACAAGCTCGTGGAAACTGTCCATACGGTTGGAGCTAAGTTCTGCAAGACCCGCCGCAGAAGAACACAAAAACTCTCCGATCACACTCTTAATCTCATGGCTGTTAGACGGGAGATGAGGCTGCAATCGTCAACAGATTTGACAGCATACAGGCAACTGAACAGACAGATCTCCAAATGCATGCGGCGAGACTTACGCAACTTTAATACTGCTCGTATTAAAGAAGCGATCGAGCGGAACCAGGGCTCCAAAGTCTTTGCCAGAGATCTGTCTACCAGTAAGAGCCAACTGTCAAAGCTGAAGATAATTGGTTTTACACGAGAAAGGAAAGACTTCAAAATGTCGAAAAATTGTTTTAAATGCAGAGAAGAAATAACAAAAAGGGACTTTATTGAATGCTTCAACTGTAAGAAACTCTTTCACTTAGACTGCACAAGCATAGGAGAAAAGTTTTTCTTCTTATTAGATGTCGAAAAAAGAAAAAAATGCCTATGCGATTTATGTAAATATCATATACTACCAAATTTAGTCCAACAAAATATAAATATACCCACAACTAACTCTTTCGATGCACTAGACGTGGATGACGAGTACACAGAATTTGTTACCTTTCATCAAAAAAAAACTATCAGAAACACTTCCAGATTTATCAGACTCATTTATATCAACGACTAATACACACTCTCATTCATCAAATTTACAAAAAACCTCTCGCAGCCTACCAGACGATGACTTAAGAGATTGCTTAATCATACAAGAGTTAAAAGAAGAAGTTTCAAGATTACGTACAGAACTAATTATAGCGAACAAAGAGGTGGACAATTTAAACATAACGAATAGAAAACTTACCAAAAAATTTTAGAACAAGAAAAAATTATAAAAATCTACAAAAGTGTTAGTATCGAGGACGTAATATTGAGAAAAACAGCCAATAATTCCTATAAATCAACACCTTTAACTAAACCCAAAAAACAAAACAGGAAAAGTTTAAAGTCAGATAAACGCCACAGTTTTGAGTGTGTTGAACGAATAAAGCTTAAAGAAACACTGCCTGCTATTCAACCTGAAAAATATGTAAATGATTATGTCGAACCCCTAACCTCAAAAATCAAGACTAGTGAAGAAACTTGCGAATATCCACCGAAAAGGAAACTATGCATCATTAGTAGCATTCGTAGCAATAAAATGGCGACTACACTGAGAAACCACTTCGAAACACAAAACATCTGCCGCTACCGCATAACAGGAGGTGGTATTAACCAACTGTTAAGTGGTGTACAAACAAAACTTGTGAATTACACCCTTAATGATTTTTGTATTTTAATTGTAGGTGAAACTGATTTTGATGTTTCCAAAAATTATAATGATTTAGTTATGAATATAAGGAAGACTCTTTTGACCGTTCAGCACACAAACATCTTGATACTTCTGCCTACTCTTAAATTTTGTTATCACTCTAATATTTATAATAGACGAATTGAAACCTTTAATAACCTTTTATACTCTGATAATATTAATTTTGAATGTTGTTACATTTTAGACTCCAACAAAAATTTAGACTATTCTCACTCACTCATATATTCTCAGGATATAATGGAAAATTAAATAAACGCGGATTAAAGACAATTTTGCATGACATAAACGAATTTATAAGAACATTTGATGATGTAACATTGAGTGAAAATCGACGAATAGAAGATATCTCTGATTTAAAAGTAATAACGTTTCAAGAAAATAAAATTTTTTTTTTGAAAGAGAAGAAAGTAAAACGATTTGTGAAATAAGAATAGAAGGGGGAGTTGATCGAGCAAGTAGATGAGTTTGTATATTTGGGCTGCGTATTTAGCAGGGATGGGAGATATGATAAGGATATAGAACGACGAGTGAATGCGGGAAATAGAGTAAATGGGGCCCTGCACTCTATTGTGAAGAGTCAAAATGTGTCGAAAAAGGCACGTATGGCAATTCACAATGCTGTGTTGGTCCCTACTTTAACATATGGTAGTGAAAGTTGGGTGTGGCAGAAGAAGCACGAGAGTAGAATGAACGCAGTAGAAATGCGGTCGTTAAGGAGTATGTTAGGGCTGAATCTTAATGACAGGGTAAGAAATTGTGTAATAAGAGAAGAGTGTGGTTTGCAAGATGATGTTGTGACCAGGATTAAGAAAGGAATGCTTCGGTGGTTTGGTCATGTGGAAAGAATGAATGAGGAAAGAGTGACAAAGAAAATTTATGTTGCAGAAGTGAATGGCAGAGTCGGAAAGGGACGTCCTAGGCGAAAATTTATCGACCAAATTGGCGATTTATTGAAAACGGGCCAAATTAGGAGTACCCTTAACCGACGAGCATGTATGCGGAGGTGTATGGATGTGAAGGAGGCGAGAGAGGTGTGTCAGGATCGTGCCAAATGGAAGTCTGTAGTCTCTGCCTACCCCTCTGGGTGACAGGCGTGAGTGTTTATGTTATGTTTATGTTATGAAAATAAAATTGATACAGAGGTCTTCCTTCCGCCCCAAAATGCTATAAAATTATGTGTCAAAACATTCAATGTCTTTCTAACAAAATTGACGACTTAAACTTATTGTTAATGGAAGTTAAAATAGATATATTAATCGTAAGTGAACATTGGTTATTACCTATTAACTATCATTTTTACACATTAGAGGGCTACGAACTACGTGCGAAGTATTTGCGGCAAAAACATATACACGGTGGGGTTGGTATCTTTGTTAAAGAAAAACATGAAAACTAAAGAACATTTAGACATTCAATTATTCACAGTAGAATTTATCGTGGAATTGTGTGCGTTGGAGATTACTGAATCTAACTTATTGATTGTGGCCATCTATCGCTGTGAGAGAGAAATAGAAACATTTTTCGTTCAAATGCAAGCTTTAGTAAACCACTTATCCAAACATGCTCATAATAAAAAAATTATCATAGCGGGCGATATAAATATAGACATCACAAGGAATACAAAAAATATCTCGTAGACTTATCAATCTTTTAAAATCATTCGGGTTGCGCTGTCTTATAGAAATCCCTACACGTGAGACCCAAAACAGTAAATCATGCATTGACCAAATTATAATTTCTAAAAATACAAAATTATGACTTATCAGATCATCACGCATTAATTGGACAAATACCAGTGGAAGAGAACATAAATAGAAATAATATTACTTATAAAATAAACAAACGACTTTTTAATGAGAATAATATGAAAAAATTCAGAATTAAACTAAATGAAATTAATTGGTGTAATATAATGACCCCAACGAGTGATATAAATACAAACTATAATAAATTTCAGAACCAAATCAAGTCTATTTTAGATGCACATATTCCACGAAAATTGTATAAATTACAAAATAAAGAAAAGACAAGATGGGCAACAAAAGGCATTAAAAAATGTTGCTACAACAAACGTGTCTTAAGTTATCTTACTAACTACAATAATAACGAAGCCTTAAAATATTATACAAAAATCTACAGCAAAATACTAAAAAGAATAATAGTCACAGAAAAAAAAATCTTACATAAAAAGAGTGCAAACGTCACGTAATAAATATAAAACTATGTGGGCTATGATAAATGAAAAAACTAAAAAAGTTAAAAGTGTAAAATATGAAAACATTTGTTTACGTAATGACGTTTTAAATATAACATTTCGAACTAAAGTTGCAAACTTATTCAATAATTATTATATAACTATAAGTTCAAATAACTGCTTCTCTCTAAATAAGGGGTCATCTCGAGTATCCTTGACAAATTCACTATATCTTAATAGTGTTAAAAAAGCTGATGTAAAAAGAGCGATAATGGGACTAAAAAGAAACAATTCTTGCGGATATGATGAAATCCCAGCTACTCTACTCATATATTGCGTAGATGAGTTTGTAAAGCCCTTAACTTTTCTTATAAATCAATCGTATAAGGATGACGTTTTTCCGGAAAATCTAAAATTAGACGTGATAAAACCTATTTTTAAAAAAGGCGATAAAACTGCCGTATCCAATTATCGCCCCATTGCATTACTGTCTGTAATTTCAAAAATTTTTGAGAAAATAATTTGTAATAAAATATTTTTTTTTTTGAAAAATACAGTAAAGTAAAGTAAAGTTACAGCCTATATACGTCCCACTGCTGGGCACAGGCCTCCTCTCATTTCTGAGAGGGTATTAGGGCAAGGAAGTGTCCACCGCGCTGCCCCAACGCGTGTTGGCGGACTTCACAAGTCTTCGAATTTTTTTTTTTAAATAATGCAGTTTCGTCCATATCAGAGATCAGAAGTCCCGCTCGCTATATCTTACCAAGGTATAAATATTGAGGAAGTTCGCACATTTTCATTCCTCGGGATAATAATAGACTCAACTTTTTCATGGAAAACTCATGTAGAAAGAGTTGTGAGTAAGTTGAGCAGTTTTTGCTGTGCCCTGCGTGAGCTACGTGAGGATATTAATGAGCAGTGCGCACTTACTGCGTACCACAGCCACGCAGCTGATTGGATAAGATACGGTATCATATTCTGGGGAAACTCTACCGAGGTACACGCGGTATCTATGCTCCAAAAACGCTGCCTTAGAATCATCACATTCGCAGCTCCAAGAGATTCATGTCGAAGGTTGTTCCCCAGATATAACTTACTAACTGTAACGAGCATGTACATTTTTGAATTATGCCGATTTGTTAGGAAAAATCCTCATTATTTACAGCGATTTAAAGATAGAACCAGTCGCTACGGCACACGCCGAGGTTATAATCTGGTTGCTCCTGCCACACATCTCACATTATATAAAAATGGTCCCTACTACATGGCTATAAGGGTTTACAATCATTTACCTAATACAATAAAAGCCCTCCAGTGTCGTAAATTTGAAATAGTACTCAAGAAAATGCTTATGGTAAAAACATATTACAGTTTGAATGAATATTTTAACGACGACCTGGTAAGATATGCAGGAAGTCGATGGATGCAGGTGGCTCAGGACCGTGCTTTGTGGCATTACTTGGGGGAGGCCTATGTTCAGCAGTGGACTTGTGAAGGGCTGTAATGATGATGATGCCACGAGCTATTCCATCGAATAGAGATGAAAAATTTTAAGTGCACCTTTTTCACCACCATTTTCAGTTATTTAGATCATATATTCAGTAGCGTTCTATTATTTAATTTTATCAGTGACTTATCATTTTAGTTAATTTAGAAGTAAATAAATGGTGCTACAATTAGATGAAATAATGAAAGCTAAAACTATTACAATCTGTAATACTATGTATCAGTAATATCAGCGATAAAAGCGAACACTTATTTATCATATCAATAAGCCATAAAGTGATGTCAATTGTTTTAAAAGTTTTGTTTCTGTTAAAAAATACGCTATCAACGCCGAAAGCGATGAAAATTGGACGATACGACCATAAATATCATGAAATAGCAATGTTGTGTTTAGTTATTAATATCGTCAAATGATCTCTTGAT